TAAGTTTTGCTTTAGGACACTGTTGTGGCATTTGACCTGGGGTCAGCCATTGCATTTTTCTTTTCCGGTTATCATAAAGAATCCACTTTTCATCACATGTTACAATTCGATCCAATATTCCTTCATTTCTGTACCGGTTCAACAAGGCAACACAAGTTTCAACACGCGTTTCTTTCTGCAGATCAGTCAAATCATGAGGCACCCATTTTTCGTATTTTTTTATTTTATTGATTTGACGCAAGTGAGTCAATATTGTGGGTAAGGTAACGTTAAACCATGCCGCTAATTCCTGGGTAGTTTGACTAGAATCGCGCGTCCACTATCTCTCTTAATTCATCGTTATTCACCTGTGTGGGCGGTCTTCCTCGTGCCTCGTTCTTTAAGTCGAAATTTCCATCACGAAAGCGTTTAAACCAAAATCGCACGGTGCGTTCATTAGTAGACCCCTCTCCAAACGCAGCATTGATATTGCGGGCTGTTTCTGCCGCGTTAGTTCCGCGTCGGAACTCGTATTCAAAAATCACTCGAATTTTCGCAGTATCCATCTTTCTTGTCTAAATTGAATAACAAAAACAATTGAAAGTCGATATTCCAATGTTTCAAATTAAAAAAAAAAAAATCACAGAAACCATTTGAAAAAAGTTTCATTCGAAAACCTCAAACCATGAAGATTCTATGAAAATTCAAAGAACCTATTGCAATAAAACGGCAATTTCATACTTTAACCCCTAATATATAATGTGAATGTAGCGGTAGCGCTAGCGACAGGTAGTAACTAAGATCTCAAATAAGCACACAGATAAATTCGTTAGGTTTACAAACTCGTTTCGTAGCTCAGTTGGAAGAACGATAGCCCCAATATGCCGAAATAGCTTGTTCGAGTCCAGCAGAAAATTACAAGGATCGAAGGAAAGAATAACAACAAACTTTGGAGTATTTTCACAAAAAATATAATAATATGAATATCATAGTAGTAAAAAAGTCATGATTTTCAATAAAATATATATTGTAATAAAAATTTATTCCATTATTTTCCAATTCACGGTATTAGATGCAGTGTGCAGTGATCCGTAGCGACAAATACTTTACCTCAAAGCACATTATTTTTATATTAAGGGTCTCTGTAGGAAGCTTGTCTACAAACACACAATATTCATAAATCTTGAGTATCGACGTGTTGAGAGAAAATTTAGACTAGAATTCGTTGTCTTAGTATGTAAAAAAATCCAAACCAGGTAAGTATAGTTTACAATAGATAGTGTTAAATTCTCATATATAGACAACTGTACGAAATGAAACTACGAATTATGTGCATATTGAAATAAAAAATACATGTAAGTAAATAATAATAAAGGGAATTCATCGAGTGCGGTCTGGCGACGCAGCGGGATGTAGTTGCTGTGCGTAACCCCGTGGAAAGAAAACGGCTTTCTTTACGAGCTATTCCGCTGAGCCAATATTTCTCCGTGACAGTGCGCGCCATCATAAAATAAAACGAAAAATTCCGACGTACCGCCTCAAGCCGCAGCCGTTGCCATGAAAATCATAAGGACGAGATTTTACGGCCTATCGGAATGAGCCGCACATCGGCATGTAATTAATATTGTAAATAACACTTGTACCTATAAGTACACTTACCAGGATCTTGTTTGCCCCTTGTTCATCGTATTATTGTCATAGTGAACCGTGAATTGAATCTCCCGCTGTTCGGTACTCCATTCTCTGAGGAAAGGGTTCATGCCTTATGAATACTTTGCTCGTAATAATATGAATAACAAAATAAATATTATTATCTAATAAAATAAATGGATTTTAAGGTTTTCGTGGTTATTCACTAAATTATTATCACTAATCACAAGATATTCAAGGTCATAATAAAATAATTTAGAACTACAATTGGGCACCTAAGGGCTCTCACACACAAACACGATACGATGTCGCATAGCACGATGCGACGTCGTATGTGTAAGAGACCCTAGGGCTCGCTAGGATACGACGTCGTCGTGCTATGACGCGACGTCCTATCGTGTTTATGTGTAAGAGCCCTAAGTATGTACCTAGTCACAGATGCGTGTAGCCAACGATATGATTTCTTTTCTTCTTTCTTTCTTTTACTTTCCCAATATGGTAACACCACAAGTAATCGAGTTGAGGGTAGTCGTCGACTGCAAAAGAGGGTAGACAGATAGGTATGTCTGTTCTTAAAGCTGTCATCTGCCGCTGGCCATTCAACACGTGACCATGGAGGGTGTAACTGTTCCGAAATGTCGGGCAAATGAAAAGAGACTTCTTTCTTCTTTCATTATATGACTATATATCATGGGAAGAAACTGTAATTAGTAATAAACATCACTTTCGTTGCTCTGATCCCAAAGTAAGTAACAAAAGCGCTTCGCACCAAAAACCAAATAAATAATGTCGTGACTCAAAATTGTACAATTAAAAAGACACGATTTGAAAGTTAAAAAAATTACTAATGGAAACCAATAATATCTCGTTTATAAATGGATTGCAAATTTTTTTTAAATTTATTATGTATAAATAACAACAATCACATTATTGCCAATAGTATCCATTCAGTATTTCCTTTTAATTTTTAAACCGTGCTTACACAATTACACAATTTTGAGTTATGACAGTATTTGGTTTGAGGTGCGACTTGTGTTATGGAAATCGGAAATAACAACGGTGCACACAGATCCGAGACAATATAGAAAAATCAGTTTTTCTATATTTACCCGTCCGGGACCGGAACCCGAGACCTCAGCGACAATGAAAGTCGGTGTGTAAGCCACTCGACCACGGAGGTCGTAAAAGGATATAACTGAATTCCATAATTGTTTAAGAAAGTACTTATCTCCATTTTATACGTCTTTTTACTACTTACACACAATTTATTGCAAGGAATGACAATTGAAGGGGGTAGAATAGTAAGTTTTATATTTTTGCTTAAACAAGTGCCAGTGCAGTGAATTGACATAATTAAATCGAAACCTATCAATGAACTAATTATTTTATGTATCGTGTACATTCAAACAAATACCTTAATTAAAACATGAAACAATATAAACGTAATTTTTGTGACCAATTATTATTTCCTCTTATTGTTTACATTCATTTTCCTCATGGCTTAGAACTAAGTATAGTTGAAAAATAATATTAGTAATTTAAACTCTTAACTCATGAATTACGAAGCTATGATGGCAACTACCGTTTACTTAGGCCATTATGACAATTTCTCATTTCATTCTGGAGATTCACTTAACCCAAATAATGACAGAAACAATCAAAATAAATAATAAAACACAAATTATCGAGATAAATACACAATTCTCCCACCAAAACTTGGTCCGTATCTTTCTGGACTGCGTTTGGAAACGCAAAGCGGAGTCCTGAAGATCTTCAGCACGGTCATTCAAATCGTTCAGCTTTGCTTCTCTCTCAAATAAAACCCTTACATTATTATTCATTATGTGAACAGTTTCATTCACTAACACTTTTGCTTCTTGTAAATGAGCGCTTTCTTCCATCATTGCTTCCTAAAAATAAATGAACTTGACTGAGAATTGTTTAATGTCAATAGGTAAGTTTAAGTCTAAGGTAAGATTCATTAGCGGTGTAATCATGTCACCAAAATGAGTCATATTAACTATCTATTTACATAAATAACAATATATATTTTTAAATATAAGTAACATGTATGTGCGGGTATACGCTTAATGGATATTATACTATAACATTCCAATTATCGGTTTCAGCAATTATTGAGTTGATCTACGTGTATACATAGTACAAGGGTGCGTACAGATCTGGCGAATGTGCCGCAAATGCGCCTATTTGCGAAAGATTCGCGAGCTGCATGCGTGCTGCATGCGTGCTGTTAAATACATGTTAACGTATGTGGCGCGAGAGCGGCACGCGAACGACACGCGAACAGATCGCACTACGTAATGCACGGGTGCAGCTCGCGAGTCTTTCGTAAATAGGCACATTTGCAACGCATTCGCCAGATCTGTACGCAGCCTAATAAAAATTATAATAATAATGACATTCATTTATCGAGTTCTTAGGTTTTCGCAATTGTTACACATAGGCTATATGAATCTGTTTTTTTGGATCTAAATCATGTACATTTGTTTTTTAAACTAACGTTTCGGGCACTTTAACTGCCTTTGTGGCCCAACGGTTACCATGTTGGTCTAACATGCAGTTCCAGGTATTTACTTATTCATTTGCAGGTCACACGTGGTGATGGTGGCCACGGCTGATTTTTATTCATTTCTATGAACATACAACACAGCATCACATACGTTTCTCAGATCCCAAAGCAAGCAGCTAAAGTACTTGCGTTATAGAAATCGGAAACAACTACGGTACAACAAACACCTAGATCGAATACAATATAGAAAAGTTAGTTTCTCTACACTGACTGGGGATCGAACTCGGGATTTTCAAGATAGAATATAGGACACTGTGAAAATCGATGTGTAAGCCACTCGACTACGAAGGCCGTCAATATTAACGCATTTGACCGTACAGTTAGGATATACGAGTCCACTACTCTCTCTAATCTGAACATGTGTTTTACACAAGAACTCGACGCTGGTTAATGTATAGGTACTCACTTGTTTTAGCAGAACAGAAACAATAACGAGAAACAAATTGGTAAAAACGCGGCGATCGAAAAGTTCAATATTCTCTTTTTATAAATTGAAAACAATAACTGAAAGCCCGTCTGCCTCGATCCAATACGAAATTAAACTGTAAAATCCCACCACTGGCATGTTTCATTTAATGACTTACTCATGTAGTATGTAACTGTAATGTTATAAATTTAATATTTTCCTGGTTAATAAGCCCGCCAGCAATATTATAATAATTTAATGACACACTTTTGTTATATGAAATGCATAACACTTGTTTATACATTTTGGTTCTTTAACTCGTAGTTTTTGTGAATTACAATTCCTAGAGAATTGCTTTTTTCTTTTTTTTTTCAGAAAACGCTACAAATTGAGAGAGTCAGCATATGAAGTGCACTTATTATGTTGTGCGCTCGAACCTCGTACGAACGACAAATACTTGACAAAATACTCTGCCAATTGTGTCGGAGTACCGCCCTCAATTGTTCGAGATGAAAAATGGTCTATTCGGATTGTTCGCGAACAAATGCGTGCCGTGCGGGTCATTACGCTTTGTTTTAGGAATAAGTATGACAAAAAAATTCAACGTAAAAAGCTGTGATTTTCGCTTCCGCCCTCTTGAGTCTGGGTAAGCACTGTTTAACTACGGCCAAGGCATTTATTTGTTCTAAGGCATTTATTTTCCATTTCGCGTTATTAAAATAACAATGGCAAGAATTTCACTTCTCAATCTAAAAAGTTCTAGCTATTTATTCTACTTTTACTTTTCCTTTTTACGAGAGTAACCCTGAAATTGGACGGATAATATCGGAAGATGAAAATCGTCGATGGAAATCATAACAGAAAATTTTACAGCCTGGCGTCGGATTGGGCGCGAATGCCAAAGATTGTTTCAGAGCTCGCAAAGGATAGACCCGATAATAACAATGTCGTCACTTCCTCAATCTAACTTCTTCAATATTTGCTGCCGAAATGGTCACTCGCAATTAAATATATTCATCGGAAACATTTTTATGTCAAAGTGCTTAGGCTTTATGAATAGGGATGGTTAAGTACGTCTGTAATTGAAGTTACTAACGGTTACATTGACTGAATAATTCATGAATTGGTTTTTATATTTTTTCATCCCAAAGTGAAAAGGACGTGAGGGGGTAGATGTATGTAATTTATAAAAGTAACTACCATTTCAATAACAATTATGTACAAGCTAAGTGGAAGAAATTTTAACTCCTATTAGGTTGAGATTTATAAAACGAATTTTGACTACGATTAAGCAAAAATGGCGAGCTAAGCAAGTTTTTCGTATTTAGAAAGCGAACTTTGCCTAAATTTAAGTTAGCTGGTGAAATTACAGGCACGTGGGTCTTGTCAACGTATATCTCAGGGTGACGGGCGCACTGGCAGTGACTGATCTTTGTGATTTAAAGCTCTGAGTGGCGCATGTAAAGGCGTGTGACACTTATCACCAAGCGCACGGCTTGTTCGTCCCATCACTTGGTAATGATAATTTCTTACTTTATCGTTTTTATGACAAAGTAAGAAATTACGAAGTAAACTCAAAGTTAAATTAAATTTCTTGCTTAAATATCTTTTGCTTAATCGAAATCAAAATTCGTTTTATAAATCTCAACCTTAAACCTTCTCTAAAGTATTTTTTAAGCAAGTTCTAGTTTAGATCTACACTAATACTACTAGTACATTAGTTGTATGGCAACAAGGTTCCAACTAAAGCAAAGACAAATTCCTTCCGACTCTATCTGCCGCCGTAGCGTCGTCGTCCCGGGGTGATGTTCTGCCCCGTCTGCCGTGTTTACAAGTCACTTTACGACCCGAGTAATTACTCTCATCGTAACACAATCTCCGGTCCTGTTTTACATTGTTACAGATACAAATGTATGGCGACAGCCTTCTTCATTAAATTCACATGTAGTTTGACAAGATTTAATGAAATTATTCTACATTCTAACTTTACCTGACTATACAATTTGTGTTACAAATCGCTTATTTTTTGCAGTGGCAGAAACGTACACAGTAGAGTCTCAGGTACAAGAAAAAGCATTTATTTGTGGAAAAACACGTTGTATAGAATTTGTCAGTAACAAAATGAGAATAATATCACTTTCATTCAGTATAGAGTTACTGTACCCCACGAAACATTGATATACAAACATATGTCCTAGTGGCTTGGACAAACGGCTCCGCAACGCCCTTTGAAATCGAAACTCGTTTGAGTCGACTAAAACTCATTTCGTCATTCATTCGTCAGTTCGTCAGAAAGAGTTCGTCCAGTACTGCCACCATCCGCCAAGGCTTGCTGCTTCCCGCATCATTTCGAGCACATACTATCATAATAATTTTTGTTTTGTTTGTTGTTATTTTGAAATACATAATATGTTGTCAACATGTTGGTTTCTATTACTGTAACCACCTACCTTACCTATTTCTGCCGCCAAGCAGTAATGCGAACATTACTGCGTTCCGGTTTTGAAGGGTAAGGGTGCTGGTGAAATTACAGGCACATAACACTTGTCAACTTATGTATCAGGGTGACGGACGCAATAACAGTGCACCTCAGATCTTTATGATTTAAGGCTCTGAGTAGAATTTATTGCTCACACACAAAAAAGAAAAACGGTACACAGACAAGTTATCATTAATGTGGGCAAAGCGGCCTTGTTTGTGGCAAGGAGAACTAACCAGAGACAGAGACATAGTGTGCCAATGGACAACATTTAATTGCATTAGTAAAAGCTTATATAAACCTGAAAAATATATACACCAAGTTGCAGATTAAGATCGTGCCAGAAGATACGCAATCCAGTTTTTTTTTCTATTTCATTTTTATGACTTCGTCAGCTTTTATCATGTCTCTGTAATCAATGAAGAATCGCTGTACAGGTAAACTTGACCTGTCCATATGAATTTATGAAAATGTCATTTGAGTCAATATTATTGTAAAACATACCTAGATGTCACGAGAACATAAGACGAAAAATTGTATATAATAACGTATTTAAATAATCTGATATTAGCACATTTCATTTACCATCATCGCCCTGAAGCCCAATCGCGCTAAATGCGATAGGAAAAACCAAATCTAAACCAAATATAAAATCTTGTCAACGTGACACGTTGCGTACATTTGCTATCGCGCTAATGAAATAGGAAAAAAGTATACATTTCAAGTGGGTGAAAAGTATAAACAGAAAAAAGAAATTAGTAACTGAAATTAGAGAGTTGTCAATCAAGAAATTTTATATTACACCCTTTATGTAATGAAGCCATATCTACAAAATAACAACTTTTCGGGAGATAGATTTAAAGGTCCGACGAACAAAATTAATCAATAACTTTTCTATCCTTAAATAGGAAAATTTTAGAACTTCACATACATATAATTTATTTCATGTAATTCGTATTATTTTTACGACTTTCATGTAATGAAATCACTGTTGAAGTATGATCACATGTGGTTTTATTACACCAAGGGTACGATATCAGCTACATAATCTAGAGGCTGTACAAGTCGCATCTGGATAAAGCCATCATATAAGACTTATCGAAGGGCTGATGGTCATTTATTAATTAAGGTGGGCCCTAGCTGCTCCCTCTGGATCCATTACTTAATTAGCATTCGGCATGCGCTGATTTCGGACTGTGTTTACCCAAAGACATGGATGCGAGGACAGATAAGCGGATCGTAAATTTTCATAGCACCTACGTAACTCAAGTGTAGGCACTTTTCCATGATTATAGGTACATGTGTATATCTGCGTCAGTTATGTTACGCAATTATTATACGCAAATGTCAATGATATCTACTCGGTAAGTTTGATAAAAACTTGAAGAATCGTTTCAAAGATTTTCATCATTCAAGTCTGATTTATTCAAGGTGAAGTAACTTGCGTATGAACTTAAATTTTCTTCTACATTCTTCTCACGATCGTATAGTATCCGCAACGTTATCTTTGACCTCGCTTTACATTGTTATTTTTCTGAACGTAAGGCGTTAGGGCCGAGCATTATTCAAAGCAGACTTTACTAATGCATTTTATGGTGCCGCGTAATATTTACGAGGCACAGGTGAACGCGAAAACGAAGGTAAGCACCTCATTGGGGCCTATTTTAATATTACTGTTAACAATTCTGTATCTCTAGCGGAGACCTCTAGATTTATATTTTTGAAGCAATTGTCCAAATCTAGAGGTATGAGACCTTTTTTTCATTACAACATTTTAGCACAGGACGTTAAAAACTATTTTACAATTACCAAATTAAAAATATAGTCGAGTGGAATATGTGAAATTCCCCATAAAAATTTTAACTTTAAATTAAATATTTATTTTATTGAATATCATGATGTCTTACTATTTTCATGGTCATATATTTTGAATTTATGAAAATCAAAGTAGTAAGTAGCATTTACAACACTGAAGCCAGTATGGATGTAGGGAATCCAACTGTGGGGGAGCGCCTGTGACTCCATGTTATCCATGTTACAATAAATGCAAAACATTATCTTGCGTAGAATGGCTAATGTACACTGGTATGTCACACTCGGAGATCCTCGGAAACACTTGGAAATGAACACGGTAAAGGAGGAAATCAAAAGAACCACCTTAACATACCGTTATACAACCTTGAGAACCATCGTAATGAATTGCCAAAACAGTTGACAATCTGCAGTTACAACAAAATGCTCAAACAAAAAGACATACTCGCGTTGGATTAATCTACATTACACTACTGTCATCGAGTATATAACCAGAAATAGAGACGAAATGTCATTTTATTTGTTTGAAAATTATTCTGCCATATCATTTACGGTAACAACTGAGCTCCGATTGGCCAGCCCGAATACGATACAATTAACGGGTGTCGTCAATTGTTTCACTTCAAATCGACCAGTCTAACTTGAGCTTTGCTATAATGGACGAAAATTGAAAAATTACATAATTTAATATTTCATTAGTCATTACCGATGAAATGTGATTCCGTTTGTTTTGTAATAAGATGTTTTGCTGTTTATCCCATACCACCGAATGGAACAGCTCCACATAATTAGAGATATTATCTTTATTACAATAAATACATAATATTTTTGGAAAATACGGGGACGTACACACAGGTCAGTTGTGGGCGCTGTACTATTTCAGCTTTCTGATTTGTGATTTCAGCGCAAACGAGAGTTGATATTTAAAAGTGATATCAGTACCATATGGCCGATGAGTTGCCAGGGATGGATGGCCCTTATTTTGTCTCTATTTCTGGTTATATAGTCGATGCAAAGTGTGCACATAAAGGGGAAGAAACTCAAAGTGGAGAGTTCACCTGCGTTGACATAACTGATTATCAGCACATATGCTAATAGTGGCACTGATTGCAAATGATTCACTACAAAAAGAAAGATATATATTTTAAATTCCACAAGTTTGTAAATATTGTTGAGTATCTTTATAAGTTTCTCACAGGTGAGCTGACAGCGAAAAAAAAAGTCATTTAACACTAATACAAAGCTCTGTAACAAACACATGAAGAAATTGGTAAGGTCTGTAAGGTGTGGATGGCAACAAACAGTTGTTCATGTACAGTCAGACCAAAGGAATTTATTTTTAAATTATATGACAATATTTCCACATTAGAAGTATCTAAATGCTTAAAAATAATTGTAACGAGCTCTTTCTCTTTCCTCCAGCACCCAAAGCTTTAAGAAGCCGTTCTATAATCCAAGTATTAAGAGTTATGCGTGACTAGGGATTTCAAACGTGTTTCCCCTATTTTCAGGGGCGAGTCGCGACCCGCTCTCTTCAGGGATTCCGTTCTGAAAAACCTCCATAAATATTTCTCACAGTATTTGTATCTTCCTTGGAGTATCGTTAGCCCACTGTTTCCTTTTTTGCTGTACAATCCTCTGAACAACTGCTCTTTTTTTAACAAAAAACATCCTACACAAATGTGTTGAACCAAAATTAAGCACATAACCCTTTTTGTAGTATTTACTTATATAATTTAAGAAAACTGTAAAGTAGCATGGCCCAAGGGCAGTTCGCAAGCAAAATAGTCATCGTTTTATATCCATTAGCTTTGATAAAATGAAAAATAACTGCGGCCATCTGTTTTAATTTCCAAATTCTCCTAGACCTCGCCGTTATGTGACCAATGAATTCTTGATACAAAAAATAAACGGAGTCTCTTAGAGTACTTTGTGATTAGGGTGTGTGTACATAAACTATGTTAGAATTTTATATCTTTTACATTAAAATTCAAACAATAATACAACGTATTCCGTGGTAACCTAATGGTTTGACCTATCAAACAGAGAGTTGTGGGTTCGAATCCGATCTTGCACCTTTGAGTTTCGGAATTTATGAGCGAAATTTAATTTAAAACTTATTTTTTTAGTGAAGGAAAACATCGTGAGGAAACCTGTACACGTCTGCAAAGCAATTTAATGATGTGTGTCAAATTCCTAATTCACTTTGAACCCGCGTGGAAACTACAGTCCAAACCCTCTCATTGTGAGAGGAAACCTGTACCCAGCAGTGGCGAGGCGTGACAGTTGTCTTTAGTAAAGTCGGAGCAAAACAAAACACACTTGCCTTAACAAGTGGCGCCTTGACGACAATTAAACATAACATAATATATTAGCACACAAGATACTAGTACACTTTATTTCACTGGTTAATTATTCTACACGTAAAATTGAGCACAAAATGTAGTAAATTACTTTGAAATATTTATAATATTTAGATTTTAAGACTTTCGTGGTTATTCACTAAATGATTATCACTAGTAACAGGTTTCTTACCACGGTATAACTTCTTTTTATTTTCCCGATATTTCGGAACGGTTGCACGCTCCATGGTCACGGGTTGACTGGACGGCGGCAGATGACAGCTTTATGGGCAGACATATCTGTCTACCCTCTTGCGCTGTCGACGACTACCTTCATCGCGATTTGTTGTGGCGTTACCATTGTCACTCACTTTTTTCACACAAACCACACTTACTGTATCCACACGCGAAACTGAACTCGAGGTGTTTTTGTTTTTATTACTGCACGCACTAAGAACCGGTGCTACAGAAGTCGGCTATAGCACAACATCTCACACAGACTGACACTAACCACTGGATCGAGTTGCATAGCCCCCAGGTACTCTCGACAGAACGTCACTACATACCACGGTTGGTACGAGAAGCCATCGAGATCACGAAGTACAAAACATTTAACCGTGATGATGGTTTTAAACTGTCCAGTGCATGGAATCCGGTCCTTAGTGCGTGCAGTAATAAAAACAAAAACACCTCGAGTTCAGTTTCGCGTGAGGATACAGTAAGTGTGGTTTGTGTGAAAAAAGTGAGTGACAATGGTAACGCCACAACAAATCGCGATGAAGGTAGTCGTCGACAGCGCAAGAGGGTAGACAGATATGTCTGCCCATAAAGCTGTCATCTGCCGCCGTCCAGTCAACCCGTGACCATGGAGCGTGCAACCGTTCCGAAATATCGGGAAAATAAAAAGAAGTTATACCGTGGTAAGAAACCTGTTACTAGTGATAATCATTTATTTATAATATTTGATAATTAACGAGTATAAAACGAGTTATATGGACGCCTCGCCACTGGTACTCAGCAGTGAAACTATATATACGCTAACTATTTTATTAATGGGTCTTTAAAGGAATATACATTTAATTCAATATATAATATATTTCAACCGATAGATCTATAATAATAATATTTATTTATTTTCCACATGCAGCATGTATATGTGAAATATTATTATCTTAAATGTCCTTTGCATATGATTGATTTGGCTCATCCATAACCTTGAATCCGGAACATAACAGTGTTGACTTGATGTACCCCCACCCAAGCGGAATATGCATAGGCGGTACACCCTATCAACAGTGCACTATTTCGCAAAATGGTTATTATCGCCGGCGGAACGAAATGGACTTCTAACTAAGAATCAGACACCATTGTAAAGCTATTGTATAAAATTAAAAGGTTAGTACTACAATCTACAATAAAACATTAACTCGTACAATGTCATTACAGTTTATCGCCGCTTTGGCGCGGTCCCAAAATAAATAGCCGCTATCAAACACCGATTACACAAACTGTTCACAAGCTCATAAACCAACAAACATTACGAAATCTCTGCTGTCAAAGAAAAATAAATAGGATATAAAATTTAACAGCTGTAGAGATCGTCTAGCGACAATAACGGCTACAGAAGAAATAAAGAAAGGATGTAAAATAGGTAAATAAATTACCTGAAACAATGTGATCGCAAGTATTATATTAACACGTTAGTAATAGCAGTATGTGTCAGCTCTATGTTTGACATGGAAAGTTGCGTACCTAACCTTAGAAATTTGAAGATATTAACCCTACCATAGGTGGACATTTATGAGGTCTGTAACAACAAACTAACTCTAAGCAACTTTAATTTAGTCAAAACAGATATCGTTGAAACACAAGGAATAAAATAGAAATACGCCCCAAACTCTTACAGTAAAACGTAAGAATGTTTGTGTTAGCACCAAAATTACTTAATAATTACTGGATGCCGTAAAAGAATTAAATTGTAAACAATTTAATATGAAATTGCATAATTTGTTAGTTACTCAGTGCTATTACAATATTGATTCTTTACTTGACAATATAAAATTTTAAAATTTAAGTAATGTATGTTTTTATGAAGATTATTTTTACTTCTAATTTTTTTATCAAATTCTAATTGTTATTTATGCTATTGAGTAAATGCATACTACTTCAAAAGTAAATCAAGAAGTGTGTAAAATATTCGCTAATAAATATCTTTATTCTTGTATATATCGGTGTATTTGCTAAGTTTCAACTTTGTACTTGAGTTTTAGAATTTGTAGAAGGGACTTTCTTAAAATAAATAGCTCTACTAAAAACAACAACAACTAGGACCCTACATTGTCTACCTATAGTGTATGTAATCGATAATACTGCCATGAATAATAACAATGAATCCTATAAGCCCAGGTGAGTAAACCTGCGTCCACATTAACGTTGAGCGTATAAATTTTACTGCATACGTTTCGGAGGTATCGAAATTCGAGCTTAATTGTCAATTTACGCCGTTCCCGTTTATGTGCTCGGAAAACATCTGGCCGTTGATTGCTTAACGTTTTTACGCGCACTTAGGAACTCCTGGCAGGTAACTTAAATAATACAATCGCAATGTGGAGAATTTATTCTGTTATTATATTTAAAGGCTAGGCTTAGCAAACGAATTTTTTGAGAGCTCAACGCTGGAATGCTGCAAATGAGCATTTACATTTCTAAAAATAATCTCAATTATAAATTTTTGAAAAAGCGCATTTGACAGCGGCTCGTAGTCGAAAATGCAAACTGCAGCTATTCTTGACTTAAATTCATCTGTTTCATTTAATAAGCAAGTAACACATTTTACTTCAGAGCTGTCAAACTTATTACCGTCTTTCAAAAACAAAGTACCTTGTCAATTTTTGCCGCCAAGCAGTCATGTGAGCATTACTGCTGCTGTTACAGACACATGAGAGTTATCAACTTAAGTCTCAGGCCCCTTAGATCTTGCGATATAAAGCTCTGAGTGGCACTACAACTGTCATGGATAGACGTGTTACTTGATATCATGAAAAATATCGATACATTTAGATGAGCTTCAGTTTCCAGATGTGGCCGAGCGCATTCTGCCTGGTTTTATCGATCCCCTTATGGCCTTTTATATACATCATGAATTTGCATTAGTAAAGTTTTTTCACTAATAGTCGAAGCTTGTTTTAATTCTCTGCCACTGGAAACGGTCTTAACTTATCAATAATTTATTAATTAACATCCTTTTAATGGTATGTTTAGTAGTGAAACCAAACAACTTTAGTTATGTATACCCCGCACAGTAAAAAATCAGGAATGCCATGGTAAATGCTCCTTAGGAAGCTACTCGCTCCAGAGCAGCTGTTTCTTTTTTGCAATTTCTGAAGGGTGCCCATACAAAACATTGTTCGGTTTCATACACTGAAAAAGATGCCCTCAAAAGGTTGTCAGCTAATAAATTAGGACCTTATTACTAAACAACAATTCACAATATTTTCGTCAAATATACGATTATGCTATTATGATAGTGTCAACGACTAGTTTGACAATAATAAACTGAAACTGAAATCGTCTGTTTTTTTCTTACTAATAACGAAGGAGAAAGATGCAATGAACTTAAAATTCATTTTGCAACTGCGCAAATTGACACCATTGTCGACTGTAAACTTTATCTCCTTGAGCTTGTCTCTATCAACATAAGTATATCATTACTTGGCAGTGGTGTCTCTTTTTTAAACATGCGTTATGTAACTGAGTGACTGATCTACAAAGGTATATTAATAAATTTATAAAACATTTAGAATAAAAATGTAAAATTGCGCTTAACCCATCACAAGTTCTAAAGACACACAGTGTTCCTAAGGATTTTGGCACTGCAGCGTCCTAGATCCACATCCTATTCTATCCTCCTCTCACTATCTATTTTAATTAAAATATTTTTTTTAAATATCAAAATTTATAAACATTTATAAGAGTATAAAAATTTATAAAAAACGCAGAATTTTTTTTAGACAACATCACATGCGTTGCTCTGATGACAAAGTAAGTAAGTAGCTAAAGCACTTGTGTTATGGAAATCGGAAACAACGACGTTGCAACAAACACCCAGACCCGAGACAATATGGAAATGTTAATTTTCTACACTGACCCGGCCGGGGATCGAACCCGGGACCTCAGAGACGGCGACTCCATGAAAACCGGTGCGCAAGCCATTCGACCACGGAGGCTGTCAAATATTTTATCTACAATATTCAAAGCACTTTCCCTCTATGTCGCATATCCTGTATATTTTTTTAGTTTTTACCGTACCCTTCTACGAAGTAACAAACTTGTTGTATTTTCATTTCAATCTTATCTTCGATTAATTTGAAAGCTTTAAAGATTCGACAGTACAATTATGTACCTACGTTGGATGTAGCAAACTCGGCTATGCCCAGATCGTAATCTTCATAGACGTGCCTAATGGCACCTTAGCTAACTCCATTAGTTGATTAGCTTTCTTTCTGATCGCTTTCATGTGCCGATTGCTATAGGTGAGTTGGGTTATTAGGAGAAATCGCGTAGGTTTACGTACGTTATAACTTCATTGCTAAACTTTATAATTTGATATGTAGGAGCTATTACTTAAGTTGTATATTGTTCAATTACAATGAGTATGGGCCGGGCACTGGTGTGGGATGACACGTGTACCGACACACTTGCCCCATCCCATGTCCAGCACGCCAGCGAGAGAGGACTGGCTCCGCAACTGAGCAGGCGGAAAGAATAATAAGTACCAGGACGTTGGCTCCGACTACCTGTTTACAGCCTTTGGAGTCAAAACCATTGGCCCGTAGAGTCCACGTGCCCTTCATCTGTACAAAATTTTATCAAAAAAATTACTAAACTGTCTGGGAAACCCAACGGCAGCTTCCTTGCCCAACGCATTAGCATAGCCATACAAAGGGGGAACACTGCCAGCATCTTGGGCACTTTTCCGCGAGAACCCAATTTTATTCATATAATTTAATCGTAGTTTTAGTTTCTGGTATTTAGCTTTTACTGTATTTTAACTATATATTTCAACTTATTGTCTAATAAAAACAAAATATATGAGCACAATAGCATTAGAGTGGTGGTAGCCTTGTGAGAGAACGGTCCCTAATGAAGAAGTTCACAGCTGGAACCATTGTAGTTACATGTATTTATAATTTTAATTCTAAATGAACATTTTTATGAATGTTTATAACCAGGGACCTGCATGCTGAAGACCCTTGATAAACGTGTCCCCAACCCACGTGGCGAACTATGACCTAAACCATCTGGGTAAGGAAACGCGTGGCAGTGAAACTTTTAAGTTAATAATGAAACACAGCAGTACAACAAAATTGTTAAAGATTTTTCCTTGAGGTAAATGACGTTGTACGTCTACGTTTTTTTTTTTAAAGATTGCATTAATACAAATTGAAAACAAGAAAAAGAAAAATTATTTATCTATATTGCTATCCGAAACTCGTATTAGTCCACACATATCCCTATGCGAAGTTTTCTAATAATGTACTGGTGAAAGCGAAACCGTGTCGCGCCGTCCTTCTGCTTTAGGGATTTTAAGTAACCGCATCCTGAGGGACATCTGAAGGGTTTGACCATACGACAAGCATTTCGAATTTATGACCCCAACTCTACATCCGTGAGAAGTGTGCCAAGGGGCGACCATGATCCTCAGTAAGAAACCATCTCTAGAAGAAGTCCTTAGAGCATATCGGTATTAATAGCTCAAATCATTCAACGTAATACTTAAATATGCATAGTAAAAGTAGAGCTCCTAGTGAAAGAGTTCGACTAGGAAAGTACTGCCAACTTACCTATTTTTGCCGCCAACCAGTAATGTGAACATTACTACCTTCCGGTTTTGCAGGGTAAGGTTGCTGGTGAAAGTACATCCACATTGGACTTGTCAACTTATGTCTCAGGGTGACAAGCGCAGTGGAAATAACCCTCAAATCTTTGCGATTAAAAGCTCTGAGTGGCACTGCAACTGCTATGAACAGGCGTGAGGCTTACCACAAGGCGCTCGACTTGTTCGTCCCATCGCTTGACATTGGAAAAAAAAATACATATAGAAATATGTAAATTCTCATTCCTGCGGAATAATTTTTGCCTTGTAAACCAATTTCAAATTGTCGTAAATATATACGCACAATATTTGAGAGAATACGCCTACCGCACTGTTTAAGTTTTCCACTGTACAGAATTCGGCATTTGAATAGTCCTGCGTTAGCTATTCAGCGCGTGACCCGCCGGCGGCCGCTGCTCCCTCGTAAATCAAACTCGCCATTCGCTTATGCATTATACAATTTTATTTGTGCGAGCTCGCTGAATAGGTAATAAACTATGGCAGGTGAAACGCTCGCGTC